TTAACTTACCCAGTGTAAGTTAATGTGTGTGTGCCAGGCGCTGTATTGGGTGTTGGAGATGAGACCGACATAATGCCTATGCTGGTGGGAATAAAGACTAACACAATACAATAGTATTATATGTAATACTATATTAAATATTATAAAATTATGATAGTACGATAAGGAATAGTGCATTGTGATACTTGTGTTAATGAATCACAATATGTTTTCATCAGAACACAAAGAGCCCAATAATGAGAGATATAAATTTATAGGAGCTAGAGAAGGTTGACAAGACAACTCCAGCGAAAACAGTGCTGGGAAGAAGGTATTTGTATTTCTTGTTGCTGCCTCAGAGAGAAATGTAAGATGGAAACTTAAGTCTTAAGCTTAGCACCCTTCTGAGGTAGTAAAAACTCACAAAGCTGTTCTCATTAAGTTGGCATTAATTGCTGTGGACTAGAGTGGATCATACAGAATGAATGTGTAGGTAAGAATGTGGGACACTGGGACATCCCTGGTGGCACAGGAGCCAAAGTCTCAGCACTATGAAGCTATCACCAGCCACTGCAGCATGAGTTCCATCTCCAGCCAAGGAGCTACCCACACGGCACAGCAGACCTCTCCTGCTTCTCCCCTCCGCAGTGTATTTCAGTAGATCTGCCTGCTCTGCTCCCTACTCTGCCTCTGGTGAATCCTCTCACCCACACCCTGTGCGCCACCCCCCTCCCCCAACCTCTGGCCTATACCCCAGTTCTTGTGTGCATAAATAAATAAAAATAAATCTTAAAAAAAAAAAGAATGTGGGACATAAAGTAGGAAAGTATTGCAGTGATATGCTGGTAAGAGGACTCGGATTCGGTGGGGGGGGGTGTGTTGATTAGTAGCGTTTATCAATTTCAAGCTACCTAGGAAATGACAAGACCTGTGCACCATTGCCTCTGGGGAGTTAGTGTGAGCAGGCTCCAGAGGCTGCCTGCAAGGAAGCTAGGGGATGAGGCAGTGGGGAGCAAGTATGGGGGGAAGCTAAGAGAAAAGCCCATCAACTTGTTTCTGAATTGTCCTTTGACGGTTACTTTGCACTGAGTGGGACAGATCTGCAAACCTCTCTTTTAAATCCACATAAAAGAAATGTAATAGTTCTTTTGCTTTATGCTTTTTCATGTTAAAATCTATTAAAGCATGAATTATGGCACAGGGGATAGTAGATCCAGGCAAGATAATGAAATATAGCTTCTAGAAATCATGGAGTATATAGAATACATTGTTTTATATTAATGATTCAAAACCCACTTTGGTAATACAAAAACAAAAGAGGCTCTTTTCCTTATATTGACCTACATGAACTCTTTTACTCTTTCTTTTCTCTCTCTCTTATTTTTCAAATCTCAGCTGTCCCATGTGAGGCTCCAGTTATACCCTGAGTTTAAGCTGTGTTCTCTAAGGACTAGGCAAGGATTCCTGAGTTGAGTACTTTTCCCTCCTGGTGAGCTCTTATGGACCCCATCTGTTCTAAAGTTCCTTGTTTAAATGTAAAGTACCCCCTGTAGCTTGGTGGTTTTAATTATATTTCTGGCTTTGTGATCTGATCACTTAGGAGTGTCTTTGGCCCTCCTCCTGGCTGGCCTCCAGCCATTTCTTTGTTTATACTCTTTTATCACAGCCAAACCTCAGCTTTTCTAGAAGTCTTCAGTTTGTCTTAGCCTTTGCAAGTGTCCAATAGAAGGGGAGAAAAAAATTCAGATTTCCCCCTCCCTCAAGTTTGAAATTTGAAATTTTACACTTTTTGTTCTAATGTGTTACACTGTATAGTGATTTTTTTATGTGTAGTTCTTTTTACATGTGATATTTTAAAATTCAGGAACAACTATAGATGTTATGAAATTTTTTTTGACTTTTCATTAAAAATAAGTCTTCTGAACCAAGAGTCAGAAAATTTAATGAGGATTTTTATAGTTATTAATATATTTTTCTGTGTAATTTTCTACTTATTTTTTGTATTTTTCATTGCGATATTGTAAAATACCAACCAGATTTTATAAAGCCTTCCTATCCTAAATAAGACTGGTTTAGCACAAAGGTAAGTGTGGAACCAAGCTTAGCCGAGGTTTCGCCATTTTGTATATCCTCCACCTTGCTATGTTAGTCCTTGTCCAGCCGCATTCCGGAGATAGTTTCAGCAGTCACAACCCTCACTCCACTTGGTGACGAAAAAGCAGACCACCCCAGCCGCCAATGAGGGCAGTCCTATCCATAAATGGGACAGCATCTCTAACCGTCCAATCAGTTTGAAACTAACCGTGCGCACCAAAATGCCTTTGTAGCAGCCAATGAGTAATTGCCAGCTTCTTGCAAAGTTCGCGTCACTCGCGACCCTATAAGATACCCCTGCTTCCTCTGTTCGGGGCTCTCGACCTCTGCCGTTGCATCGGTGCGTGTCGAGGGCCCGGTCTCGAGCCCGTAATAAACTCCCTTTTGCATTTGCATCAGCTGTCTTTGGATTCTTGGAGGCTATGCTCGCCGAGTCTGCTGCTCTTGGGCACAACAGTAAGTTGAGTTCGGGACATTTGATTTGGCTAAATGGAGATGCCATTTTCTGAGAAGGGGAAGGGAGGAGCAGTTCAGGAAAAAATCATGTGCTCACTTGGCATTAGCATTACAAGGTGTGGAAGGAGGGAAAACAGGAGGCAGAAAGCCAGCTGGAAGACTGTTGAAGCGACTACAGCAAGCCTTGAGGTCTTGCTTCATTACCTACCGTCCTCACAAGACCTGCTCACATTTATTACATGCGTAGAGTATGTCAGGCACTGTTCAAGGAATTCACATATACTAGCCCTTTTAAGACAGGGCCTCCCCGGTGGTGCAGCGGGTTGAGCACAACGCTGTGAAGCTGCCCGTAGCCTCTGCAATGGATTTGATTCCCGACTGGCCAGGGAGAGACCCACATAGCGCGACAGACCTCTCCTGTCATGCCCACTGCTCCCCCTCAGCAGTTTATTTCAGTGGATCCACCTGTTCTATTCCCCACTCTGTCTCTGGTGAATCCTCTCACCCTCCTGTGCCTCTGGCCTGTACCCCAACTCTTACATAAATAAAAAAAATAATAAAAAATAAAAATAATTCTTAAAACAGCCCTATCTGGTTGGAACTATTGTTATCTCAATTTACACATGAGGAAACTGGAGCAGAAACTTCCTCCAAATAATAGAATTAGTAAATGTTGGGGCTGGAGTGGAACCCTAACTAGTCTGATTAGTGAATGCCCATCTTGGTTTCCCCAGCCAGTAAAAGTAAACAGTTTGAGGAGAAGGAAAGTAGTTTAATTTGTCCACAAGTTGAGGAGGGCAGCAGACCCACGTCTGAAAGATGATCAACCCGCTCTTTGGCAGAGGGTAGGGTATTCATCCAGAATTACAAGGGAGTAGAAGGGGGGAAGTAGGTAAGAGTTAGCATGGCTATCCTTGTGATGCAGGCATCTGGAGATTTGGGGGGAGATTCAGATTGGTGCCAGCTTGCTTTGCTATCACTTGGTAGTCAGCAACTTCGATGCTATCTTCTTAGGGACGTTTCTTCTTTCCCTGGATTGTAAGAAAGCAAGGTTGTTAAATCTAGAGGGTCTGGTGGGACAGGAAGAGAGACATGTCCTTTTATCACTGCATCATTCCTGTTTCAATTTTATACTCATATGTCCTAAATATGCATTTGGGATAATGGGCAATAAGGTAGAAGAAGAGATGATTATCACTAGTCTAGGAGATCTAGAATTGATGAAATATACAAGCTTCAAGTAATTTAGAAGGCATGGTGAGTATTTTAGGGCGTTTAGTGCTGCACCAGAGAAAGGAGAGGGATTTCAACTAGGAGGGTGTGAAAAATTCAGCTTAGATATAGCCTTCAAAGAATTCCTGTGGCTTTGGCTCAGTGCTTTCATTTCTAGACTTTCAGGAAATCTTTATATAATATCAGGTGTTTGAAAGACAGGTAACTGGGTCATAGCAACATTTTGAAGTAACTTGTTTTTCTTTCTTGAGTTCTTGCTTCCCTAATGCCTTTTCCGCCCAAATCTCGGTGAATCCAGGGATGGGAGTTTTCCTGCAGTCTGAAATAATGATTGAATTCCTCTGAGTTGAAAGATTTGGGAGGTCTTGGAGTACTCACAGATTCTTAATCAGGGGTTCTGTAAACACTAAAGGGATCATGGATGAGCTTTTGGGGTTCATAAGTTTTCTGAAATATAGATTATGTGCATTTTCTAGACAGAATTTATCTAGACTGTTAAAGAACTCAACGACCACATCCATATTAATAACAATTAAAAGATTTACTTCCTAAAAGCCTCAGTCATCTCTTTAGAGACTGCTAGAAACAAGTAAAAAAAGAGTGATACACACACACACACACGTGTATATGGCTTATGCGGTATTAGAAGTGTGTTGTTGTGTGTTAAAGATTTCTACTGTGGCAAAACAAGGCCAGGAAATACTGGAAGGAGAAATGGAAGACTGGAAACCAAAAAGATATATGGTTTACTATACAAATGGCAAACAAGTTCAAATTGTTCACTAACTTTGAGTGTTGGTTAGGCTCTGCCTAGAGCTCTTTGATAAGGAGAATTCTCAGGTCTTCTCTGGCTCAAGGTACAGAGCACCATCATGGATCTGCCCTATCTGCCATGAGTGTGGGGAACTCAGCAGTAGGATTCAACCATGTATTTGCTATTCTGTTAATTACATTGTTTTAATTATAATTTCTTTGTAGAGTATTGCATTTCGTGAAAGTGGATTGTATGACTCTCATGAGTATCGACTGGCATTAAAAACTTTGAGTGGAGAAAACGAAACAACTACAAGCTGTTTCTTGGAAAAGTTCAGATAATCAGCAATAATACAATTAGCTACGGGCTTCTTTCGTTTGTTGTTTTGTTTTGTATATATATATATAATTGATATGAGATTGATATATATATATATATAATTGAAATGAGAAAACAATTAAAATTTAACCTCTTTCTTTTGTAGGTTGCTGTCTGAGTCTAAACAACTCAACATTTTAAGAAATGCAAGATCTTATATTAAGCAGAAAAAGTATGATGAAGCAGTAAGTATGCAAACTTGTATATATAAATACCTGATCATCATTTCAGGTATAGGGAAGGATGTGATGTAATAATGGGGGGCAAAATGGACACCTCAGGAAGCTTTCGTTAATCTTCAAGAAGCTTAGTTGCTGCTTTAGATATGGACATACTTCTCTTATTTCAGCTAATATTATAGGTAAACCTCTTAGGTTAGCATTGGAAATTAACAATTGCCATTTTTATAATGAGTCTATTCCAAGTTTCTGTCACCTTTCTGCTTAATATTTTAGAGTATGGCATATTTGTACATTTGAAATTATCAACACACAGTCAGAAGTCTAATGATTCATATCGAAACTTTGACTCTTCCAAACTCCTTCCCACTATTTCTCTCATTCATTTTGTCAATGTTAAATGGTCATATAATTTTAAAATAGAAAAGAATTCTATTTTCAGTTTCTAAAATGTCTAACTCATACCATGCATTTCTAATGCTAATTTTTGTTATGGTTTTAAGATGATAAGCTATTTTTTACCCTCTAGAGTATTAAGCTATTTTAATATTTTTAATTTATTTGGGTGATCTGATATGATATATGGACATCTTCATATTTGGTACCTATTTTAGAGCGTCTTCATGTCTTTCTTTCTTGTATCCTATGAAGATTATTTCCACAAAATGAATTATTTTAAAACACTACACATATCATGGATAGTTTGCTTTTTTTTTGATAGTTTGCATTTAAAATGTTCTTATCAAGTTGTAAAATTTATTGTATTCAGGAATTTTTGTACTTTCAAGAAAATCTTGTAACAAATAAAATCTATTCTTGGTCCATCATCTACAGTTATTCTAATTTTAATACACTTGCTTTCTCTGAAACTTAGGTTTACTTATTCTTTCTATGTGGCAAGTTACATTTTTCTTTCCCCCTAGGTCTCGCTTTGCAAGGAGCTGATTCATCTTGCACTAAAAGGATTATCCTATTATCATACTTATGACAGATTCTTTTTGGGCATCAATGTTGTTCTTGGTTTTGTGGGGTGGACGTCATATGTGTCTCTGCTGATCATCAAATTTCATTCCAACCTCACCAGATGTGTTAGTAAAGAAATTAAGGTATGTTCAAAAAATATAATGAAGATTCAGAGGAAGGTATAAAATAACTAGTCCTATAATTTAAAAGGGCTATAAACATAGTTGTATAATTTAAATTCTCCTATGGCATTGACTGTGTTGGTTTTCTTTTTTTTTAATAATCATTGAGCATGTTGTAAGTATTCTATATCTTTCTAATACAGGTGGCTTGAAAACTACTTCAAAACAATATGTCAATATGTTAAACTTTATCTGACAGTGAAAATTGAGGGATTGGAAAGTGCTAAAAATCAATTATTCAAAATATTTCTTTTAAAATAATGTATATGTATTTCTAGCACTATTCTTCCTTTTTTTAACTTTCTGAAATTTTTAAATACACTTTCCAGAACTTTCTATTCTCATTTTAAGAATTGGTATCTAATTTAGTATACTTTCAATGCAGAAAAAACCCTCACAAAGCTAGCTTTAATAATATTTCATATAACTGGGAGAACAAAACAATATATATCTGTTTCTCCTACATTACAACACTTTACTCTTTTAAAAATATACTGCTAGCTATCATGTACCAGGGAGAATATGCTACTTCCATTTCCTTTACTTCTTTCTCTCAACTGATTATTATCATGTCCAGGTCCTCTAAAAAAGCAATATATCAGATGGTGTATTATTAAGAATAACAGTTTGCAGACCTTTCCAGTGGTAACTTTCTCCAGTTTTACATTTGATTTTTCTGTAATGGAAGGAAGAACAGCTATGTTTATTCCTATTTTATAGTGCTTTAATGCATCATAAATAATTTCCCCGATAATTTTCATTAATTGAATGTATATGAAATTGACTTGAATAGGAATAACTTCTTAGATGTTAAGAAAAAAGACAAATACAACTGTGTTCAGCAATGGATATATCTAGGCATTCTGCTGTGTTCTTGGAATTTATTTTGCTGTTTTAATCTCATAATAGTACTGGAAGTAGATATTGTAATTTCTCTTTACAAAAGAGAAAACTGAAGCATAACATAACCACCTTGTCAAATATAAGCCACTATATTACACTACAAAAGACAGCTTTAGAGTGTAACAACATAAATATATGTTAATATGTTTGTGATACAAAGATTCATGTTTCAAATCAAGGAGAGTTCACTTGAGTTAAAGTGATATAACAGGAAAAGATAAGTCTTGGTGGAAACTTAATAGACTATATAGGAAGAGGATGAGAATTAAAGTAAAATGAATAATATAAACAGCAATGGAATTGGAAAATGTATTATAATACCAGGATAAGTAATATTTATTGAGCACCACTATTCCAAGACTCTCCTGGGAATTTTACATGCATTGTTCAGTTCAACTTACCACTACCTTAAATTTGGTTATGATTTTCATCAAATGGATGGAGAATTTGAACTCAGAGAGATATATGTTTTCTTCAAGGACCCACCAGAATTAAATGACAGAACTAACATTTTCTAAAACTTAAATTCATGCTCTTTCTACACCATGCTGCCTTCAAAATAAATAGTTCAATTTGGGAGGTTTGTTCAAGGATCGAATGAGAGATAATATTGACTGTAGATTAAATCAAAGTAATCAAAGGCATCAACTGCTGAGAGTTTCACTTTATTATGGTGATGAGTTGGCTAGACTTAAACCAGAGGAACAAAACCAATAGGATATTAAGAGATTTAATGTAAGAGTTGGCTTATATGATTGTGGGGGCCAATTAGGCAGATTCTAAATCCATAGGTTAGGTCATCAAGGACACATTGGAACTTGCAGACAGGTGTTCTTAGTCTCCTAAGAACTGTTCTTTAAAGTCTTTTGACTGCTTGAATCAGGCCCAGTCACATTATTAGGATCCTCTCTCCTACGTAAAGCCTACCGATTGTGGACTTTGATTACATCTACAAAATACTTTTGGAGCATCTAGATTAGCATTTGATTGAATAACTGGGGACTATAACCTAGTTGACACATAAGATTGACCGTTACAGTTGACTGAAGTAATTAAAAGTATGCCCTTTGGTTCTGTTTATCAAGACATTGATTCCCCTTAATCAAGAGTTTATAGTCCAGTGAAGTGACACAATTTAAACAGTTCTTAAGGACAAAGAAAATGCTGGCAGTCCATAGCAGTAACTGAAGGGAGGCATGGTGAGCTGTCAGGAGGTCTGACAGTTGACTACAACTGTGCATTTATTAGAACACGATGTTTGCAGTTGGGGGTTGGGAGGGTTCACAGAGGAGGTTATGGCCAAAGTGAAATCTTAAAACGTGAATAGGGTAGCCGAGAGTGTGGGGTTGGGGGGGAGGGAAAGGCAGTGCAGAGAGCAGCAGGTGCTGAATGAGGAGTGGGGCGCATGGCTTCTTGAAAGAAGTGCAAATCATCAGCATGGCTAGAAAGAGAGGGCCTCTGGGGGAGCCAGAGGTGAGGTGAGCTGGCAACAGGTATCCTCCATTGACAGGTGAGACAACAGCTTTAAACTAGCTAAATGGTTTAGTCAAATTGACAAGCAAATGGAATGTCATCTTTGGAATTAAATCTAAGTCTAACTTCAAAGTTTGTCACTTCTATCTGACAGAATCCCTCATGTTAGAGGGTTTTGTTTTTTTTTTTTTTTTTCCAATTTGCCACTGTCACCACTAAGGGAAATCTTCACTGAATATTCTGTTTTCTTTAAAGGTAATTGCCATAGTGTCTCCTCACTGAACTCTGCATTTAACTTCTATATACTCATCTTCTTTGCTCTTGCTAATTCTGGTGTCTTTTGCTTAATACTAAGTATTTTTATTTTGCTACATGCTTCCTCTTGTTCTCTTATTACCTAGTTAAGTACCAACATATGAACCCCTTAAACCAAATCTCTTGATTCTCTCTTCACTGTATGGTTGTGTAAAGTCCTTAAAGGCCAGCCCCTAGTACAGAGCATAACATATGGCTTAATAAATGTTGGATGGAGGGGTAATCACCAGACACACAGGATGGTTTATTATCATGGGGTGTTGGGGGTGGGGGAAATGCCAGGGAGTCAATTCATGATGAAGTAGAAAACACCCCCCCACTCTTATTATTTAACACTTGCAATTTTTACATCAGCTGTATCAAATCCTTTGCTCTATGATTTCGTTTTCTACAACTCGATGTCCTTTGTAAGGTCTGTTACTGTATGTGTAAAGGATCATGTAATTATACCATATTGTTTTGGGTCTAGAAAAATCCTTGGAGTGTTTTTTTAGGTACTCTTTGAAACTTAACTTTATTATTTTACTATTCTCAAAATGATGTGAAACCAGTCCTCAGCTGCCTCATGAATACCTGCGCCTGCCACCTTGAGCTTGAGGCTCTACCTGTCCACATCTCTTTGAGATTTGCCTCTTCTACTCCCACCTCTTTGCTATGGAACCTCCATTACTCCATCCCTGTCTCCACCTCTTCATTCTCAGGCTACTGATACATTTCTGTAGAAACTGCTAGGATGGAGACAAAGAATAGAGGGGGAGAAAATAAGGATACAGATAGTAATAGCAGCCATTAGTATTAAGCAGCAGTAATATTACGTTTTGTTAAGCTCTTTACATAATAAATACACGTGGAATCACTCTTTCCATTTTATAGTTGAGATGAAATGAAGTCTCAAAGAAGGTTTGTTTTGCTGATGCTCTCACATTGAGCAAGTGACAAAGCCAGGATTTGAATTCTGATCTATGTAGCTCCCAGCTTTTAACCACAGTGCTGTGTTTCACTTAACATCCCTTTTGGCACCTGTGCCTTAGTTTCCCATGCTTCTATTCTGATATTTTATGCCAGAAGGGAGTTATCAAAAGGAAGAACATCTCTTGCTTTTCTTCCCTAAATTCCCCTACTACACCAAATCATTCTTAATTCTCACCTTACTTAGCTTTGGCTAACAGAGCAAGGGGAAAAGAGAAAGCAGAAGGGCGGCAGTGGAGCGCCACATTAGCCCTCCCTTATTGATGTCTTCCCTGTGCTGTTCTTAGTCACAACTTCTTGCGCATGGCCTAATCACTGGAATTTCGGTCACTGACTTTTTTTTTTTTAAGATTTATTTATGCATACAAGTGCTGGGGTACAGGCTAGAGATGCAGGGGGTGAGAGGATTCACCAGAGACAGAATAGGGAACAGAACAGGCAGACTGACCAAAGTACACTGCTAAGGGGAGCAGCGGGCAAGACAGGAGATGTTTGCTGCGCCGTGTGGGTTGCCCCCTGGCCGGCCAATCGAACTCGTGCTGCAGAGGCCGCGGATTGCTTCATAGTGCGGTGCTTAACCCCTGTGGATTGCTTCATAGTGTGGTGCTTAACCCCTTGTGCCACCAGGGAGGCCCTCGGTCACTGACTTTTGCAGTGTTACTTCTGCCCAGCGCTGGTCTGCTCTGCTATCACTGGTGGCTCAAGTGGAAGACTTCCTTGTTTGGAAGGTGGGTGGGATGAGTAGCTGTGACTAAGTGAATCTCCTGTGACTGGATGCTGTGGAGCCAGGTGTGGGCTGTGTGTCACTTTGGAGTTTGCATAGCTGGAAGCATTGTTCCAGATAAAGATCAGGTTCCACAGTTGATTGTGGATTCGGTTGACTTTTGTGAACTAATCAGAGAACTCAATCAACATGTATAAATTGTTGCTAAGGAGAAATACGTTCAGGCTTTTGAACAAGTTACTTGCAGACAAACTATAGGAAAATAGTCGCTTTTAAATTGAGAATTGTCTAATTGTAAAAATTCAAGGCTATCCAGCTTTTTCGTCAGTAACATGCTTCTCCAGTGACAGCTTCTCTCAAAAGCAGTTCTTCGATTAATCATCTAGTTGTAGAATCCTCAAAAAAGGAATACATTTTCTTCATTTTATGTCTTTTTGAAAAGTTAATTAGCATGGATTTGAAAGTATTTCAATATATTTTTATTTTGATTTTTCAGAAACCAAGCCATCTCCTGTCATGTATTTTTATAGCAATTGGCATTTCAGTAGTATTTTTCTTACTGATTCAATCCTGCCCCTGGACTTACTACATATATTGTTTGTTGCCAGTGCCGATATGGTATGCGGTGCTAAGAGAGTAAGTAAGCATCTTGCTGTCTTGTTTTTCACTTCATTGACAGTTAACTTTGTATTTAAAATGCAGATTTCTATAGCATAAGTAATCAGAGACTTACCATACCGTGAAATCTCTAAACCCTCCTCGTTTGTAACAGTATAAATATTGCATATAAACATCCTTTCTGTTTTACCTTTTTTATCTTCATCTTTACTGCCCTGAGGTAGCACTGGCCTTGTTCTTTTCTTTGTATATCTTTTCTGAGGTAGCATTGGCCTTGTTCTTTTCTTTGTACATCTTTTCTAAGAACAATCTGGAGTAAAGAAAGACAATCCTGATTATGTTATGCCAGAAGTCACTTAACCTTCTCACCTTGTCTCATCTCAGATTCCAGTGTATCTTCTTATATCACAAAGAAGTCAGCATATTTTCATCCCTTGCATTTTTTGTTGCTCTTTCCTACCTGTTATGTGAATCAGGATAAATGTAACTGCAATTAAAATCTACTGTAGTAGTGTATATGTACCGGGATTATATATATTATTTCCACCTGTTTGACTCTACCTTTAAGTGCGTCCTCCTAAGTTGAACCTAAGCTAGATTGTCGTCAGAGTGGAAAACACCAGAGGCAGAGTTCAGACATTTGAAAAACCCTCCATTGTGCTGATTCATGTTCATTGGCAGCAAGGATCCTGTCACAGATCTTGTTGATGTCTCTATTTGCACCAGTAATGTACAATTGAAACTTAGTTTTGGGCTACCAAGCATCCTCTGAGAAAACCGGACCCCAAAAGCAGGTTAGGAAATGAAAGCCTGGATTAAGGGGTCTTTTCACGCTGGGCTGGCAGATGTACCTTGACATAGGTATTTATGCATTCTAAGTTTTGCTAACTCCAGCTTTGACCATCTCTTCCATCCTTTAGAAAATGAAGTATTAAAAAAGACACTGACTATCATACTGTTACTTCTCCATTTTAAAGGAATAAGGTTCTTAGACAAACACATTTAAATCAGATTTTTTTCCTCTGGTTATTTACTCTGCTTTTAAAATTCTTAGGATGAAAGGTTTTTATCCTTGCAGAAAATTCTACTATAGAACATTGTAGGGGCAGGAAGGAACAGAGCAGGATCTCTATGATCCAAGCAGATGGGGTAAGAAGAGAGTCCTGGAGCCCTCAGTGGTTTTTGCAGGCGTTTATTGGGATTTACCAGGTACACAGCAGGCAGAGGTGCTGGGGGGCTGGGAGGGCTGGGAGGCCTTCACTCTTTCTGGGCTCTCTGGCGTTCTCACGCGTTTTCTCTTTTTCTCTCGTGTTCCTGCTTCTGCTTCTCTGCTTCTGCTGGCATCCCCGTGACGCCGCCCTTATAAGCCCTGTCTTAGACCAAGTGAATCCCATCTACATATGCCCACACCCTATTCCAGGTGCCCACCATCAGGCATGCATTCAGGATAGCAAAGATTCATCATCAATCCTAATGGCGGGAGGGCAGAAAAGCCTGATACTTTTTCACTTACCCTACAAACATCTTCTTAGTAACTAAAAATTCTATTTATGACAAAGACACATTTAAATTTTAAGAAAAATTGGCATTACCCAAAATATTTTGTACTCTATCTTTCGATAGACTATATAGTAAATAAAACATAAAAATTCATTCTTCAAAAAAAATTCTAAATGACTTTACAAATTTATCTCTTATTTCTATTTGTCCTTCATAGTTGAAAACAAAAGAAACATTTCTGCTTTTGACTGGTGTTAGCTTTTCTGTCCTGCATGGCACTTTAACAGTTTTATATATTATGTAACCATTGTTTTCAATCAGAAAAAGATCATAAATTTAATGATATTAACCTTTTATAATTACCTACTGAAAATGCTAAAGGTTTTTTTTTTTTTTTTTTGGTGATGAAATGAAAAAAGTAACCCACGTATGTAATACATTTTTAATGGTTGTGAATTCACATTTAATTACAATTAGTGACACTTTAAATTGGGTTTGGAAAGGTTATTTAGCTCAGTGAAAAAGCGCAATTAAATTTTTCTCTTCTTAAATAAGGAAAACCCACCTTTATTTCATTAAGGCAATTGAGATTTCAATATAAAAGTAACCTGGGTAAATTAATTTTCTTTCAGTTTTATTCATTTGGGTTAATGTTATTTTATTTGTTACTGTACCTGTACTTAATTCCATGTACCCCTATTTAAATAAGATCAAAGACTCACTTAATGTCATTAATGTTTATAAAAAAGCAAGCAAACTTGTGTTCATTATCAAATGAATTCAGAAATTACATTTTTTCCTAAGATATTTCTAGATTTCAACAAAATATTTGTTACAGTTATTGAAACAAATCTATTAAAGAGATTATCTTAGTTCTTGAATTATCTATGAATTGAAAATTCCCTAATTTCTAGCTTTGTGCAAAATTTTTATTTTTTACTTTGTATGTCTTAATTTTTAAATTCAATGCAATCTTTTAATAAATACTTCTGTTAAACAGATTTCACGTTATTCAAGACCTTGTCACATCACTATTCACCTGTCCACTGAGTCATTTTGCTGGGTACCTGCTACTCTTTACTCTGGGAATTGAAGTATTAGTAAGTCATTTACCAAATTACATTTTCAGATCTTTTTTATGTATATGTAATTCCTTAAATGATCTTGTTCTTCATTTCTTCTTTGAAATGCATTGCTAGGTTCTCAGTTTTTTCTACCGCTATATGCTCACAGCTGGACTTATTGCATTCGTGGGTTGGCCATTTTTCACTGAGCTGTGGACTCGAGCAAAGGTATTAGCACTCACTTTGACAGATTAGTAGCTTCTTTGTTTTCATATGTGCTTAACTTGGGGAATTGTTCATTATTTTAAAAGATTTATTATTTATGCATACAAGAACTGGATTATAGGCTTGAGGTGCAGGGGGTGAGAAGATTCATCAAAGACAAAATGGGGAGCAGAACAAACTGACTGAAATACACAGTTGAGGGGAGCAGCGGGCAAGGCAGGAGAAGTCTGCTGCACCATGTGGGTAGCTCCCTGGCCCACTGGGGATGCCAGGGATTGAACTGGTGCTGCAAAGGCTGCGGCTAGCTTCTCAGTGCTATGCTTAACCCCTTGCGCCAGCAGGGAGGCCCGAATTGTTTGTATTGAAAGAAAAGGCTAGAATATGTCCTTACATAAAGAGTCTGTTCCTTTTTGACTGGAGGATTGTGAAGCTGCTTTAAGGTTTCAGTGATTCACGTGGACTTTCACATGACAATGAACTAGTGGTGTTTGAAATGCCCCAGACACAGAGGGAGCAGAGGTGCTGAGTCCTCCTCTGAAGTACTCCTTAGTTCCCTGGAGGAAACTAATTTCAATCTCTAAACGATGGAGCAGCCAAGGAACTGCCCAGAGCAGGGCAGGGACACAGGGTCCCCCTCTAAACTCTGGTCACAGGAGTCACCACCCTCCTGAGCTGACCTGAGGAGTCACCTCCTATCTCTCTTTTTTCCCCTAAAGAAGTTTATATTCATGGTACATTATTTTTAAATATAATTACTCCTAGGCTGGGTGTTACAATGTGCTTCTCCAAAGAATACTCTTCATATTTCCATTTTTGATACTTTTTGATGGAAGTACCAGGAATACAGAGATATCGTCTTTCTATCCTATGAGAAGTTATAAAATTCCCCAACTAATGAGGTTATTGATCATTTTTATCTTAATCTAATCATAAAATATTTTAGCTTATTTCCCTGTGGGGCTCAATTATTTGATGATGATTACAGGCCAACTTTGTAATAGATGTGATTGAGGTATGGTATAACATTAATTGAATAAAATTCTTGCTTTGAAATATCAAGCCCAGGTTTATATACTGGCTATTTCATTTACCACCATGAATCAGTTTCCTCATCTGAAATATTGTGAAGAATATAACCTACCTCTTGAGGTTATTGGGAGAATTAAATGAGATAATTCTCATACCTGATGTAGTAGCTACTGAGTAACATCCTTGGCAAAAAGTGGCTATCTTACTCTTTAAAGTAAACAGATGTCTTGTATTTCCTTTTAGTTTCACAGCCATGTAGTCTGTGAAATACTGAAGGCAGTTTTCTGTATGCTATTTATCTAAAGATAATTGTTTTCTTTCTTTTAGAGCACCTCACTGAGTTGGGCCTTCTTCTCTGTGCTCCTGGCAATGTTCCCGTTGATGCCTGTCGTGGGACGAAAGCCAGATATCTTTCTAGTGTATGAACAGCATTTCAACTTATTTGCAATGCAGTTATTTTTCTCAATCATCACTATGAAATATGAATCTAATCTTGGTTCTGAGTTTAGAATCACATGAACAGACTGGAAGTTAGAAAGTCAGCTTCAAACCAGTAGTCATGATTTGGACTTGACTCTGAAAGGCATTAAACCTCCCTGGAGATATTTCTGGACTTTGAGAAAAAATGAAATTGTGCCAATTAATGATAACTTAAAATGCAAAAAAAAAAAAAGCCTAGATTTTGTATATTAGAGAAATCATAAAAGGTTTCATATGAAAAAACGTTCTGTTGCCAAAACAAAAAGGTTGAAAAGTCATTGATACAATCTCTATCCTTGTTCACACATTAAATATCTTAGAAAAATGCAGTTCTCTGCTGTTATTTTCCAAATGGAATAATCTCCATGGGAAGAAGCACTGTGTACTTGGGCAGCTTTCCCATGCTGAATCACTTCAACCATTAGAAAATTCTGTATAACTTACCTGAATTTGCCATGCTGCTGTCATATTTCTCCTTAGTATGTCCCAGATAAATCTGGAAAATAATTGGTTCCCTTTGCTTTTAACTTTACTTTTAAATTATTACTAAGTAAGCTGTGAATGTGCACACACTAACTACATGACCATTATTTCATTTTAACAGCCCCTCTCTTTTTTTCCTAATCATGTGGTATCTTTGTTACTTTCCTTTGACTGCTGTATAACCAACTTCTTTATCATCTAATCTTTAATAGATGAGGGTATATGTTTTTTAATTGAAGAAAGGCTAAGTAATATTTTTTAAGTGAAGTATTAATTTTGAAGTACGTGCTTTTTATAAAATAACACATTTTATGTCACTTCTGTGAGAATTACAGTATGGAATAGGTCAGGAATTATTCTAGTAAGTCAATTTAATAGCAGAGTCCAAAATAATTTTGTTCATTTCTAAGACCATATTGTAAGCTATCCTTTAATAGTTACTAAGGAAAAACATTTTGCAGTTGTCATAAACTACAGTGGTATGTGAGAAGATGAATTAAAATATCCTCATTATTTCTTGCTTCCCATTGTTCTGTGAGTTCTCTTGTCCCTGTGAAGCCCCTTTTTGTCCTTCTGCATTATAAATGCAGATTCTTATTGTATGAGTAAATGCCCTTAGTCAAACATGTATGTTGTAGCTACAGATGCTATGTTTGCTTAGCTATTTTTCATATTTTTTGTAAATTTATTCAAGTCATGCTAAGAATTATGATAGTATCCATGAGTATTTTAAAAATCAAGCTGTAGAAATAAGGTGAAGATAGTTAAAAATTGTGAGAAATGACAACCCCACCCCTACACTATCTTTATTTTAAGAATTTTATTCCTATTATACCTGTGTATCCACTTTGCTATTTCATCTTGGTTAAACCACATGAATGGAAGACTTTCTACTGAGTAAAATGGCTACTATTTTGATATTATATGTGTTCAGTAAATATCTTAAGAAAATTTTAAATTGTGAATTGTGTTTTAAAACAGAATGGGTGCAGGCTTGCTGGTTCTTCTGCTGTCCCTGTTTGTTGTAGCATCACTGGTAAAAAGAAAAAAGAGCTTTGTAAATGGAGAACTGTTGTTGCATCTATTACAGGTCAGTTATACATTTTCTATACTATGTTACACTGACAATATACAAAAATGTATCTTATACATTTATATTTAATCATGTTGTTCTTAAGATGCCATAGTATCTTCTGCTTAAGATACTACATGGAAATACATTCTTTTCTAAAAGGTATGAAATAGCAAAAAGGTCAATAGGAGGTAGCTCAGTGATGCCTAGAGGGCAGAGGCTACAGAGATGTGGTCTATATTGACTCAAAAATTTACCTGAAAGAGGCCTCCTCTGGACTGAGATTCTGTGTTGTCCTCATTTGGCTTAGGAAAAGGTAACTTTGAAGTAAAAGCAGCCTGTGCATGTTTATCTGAAGAAAAACCACTTTAAGATTTTATACAACATCTTAGGAGAAAATAAACTTGATGCTAGTTGGTGGCTCTGGTGTGGTGAAAATACTGTGAACTTGATGTCTCAAAATAGTGTCGTTACCCAGTCACACTACATGTTAGATGTGTGATTTTCAGTAATGTAAATTCAGTATGCTTGTTTTTAATCTACACAGATAATACCTAATAGCTTGTGAGAATTCAAAATTGAGTAATGTCATCTATGAAAATACAGCTTTTTCACAGACAAGAGTAGAAACCACTTTTTTTCTTTTAAACCATTTTAAAAAAATAAAAATACATCTAGAACAGTGACCAAAAAAAAAAAACCACAGCTTATATAAGTCTTCTCCAAAACTCTCCTCGGAACAGAACTGAAATAAGAAAGTATTTCCAAGAACACTCTGAAATAAAAATATGCAACACTTAACAGATGTTAATTCATTCCTAGAGAACATGTAAAAGAAGAGATATTTTGTCAAAGATCCTATCTATTTTTTACTTTTCATGGTACATGACTGGCTCTTCACTCAATATGAATAGCTATGACAGAATTTACCTGTTGTAACAAGCACTTTGAATGTAGTGAATATTTCTGAATCTCAACCTCTAAGAGCCAGGAATATCCTGTTAAAATTCTTAAGAACTTTGCTAAATGTCCTCCTGAGTGTAAGGTAAATCTGCTTTGAAATCCCTCTTTACACTATTAATTTGCATCAATTTCCTCTGCTGCGGGGTATATTTTTCATTGATGTCTTTTCACATTTTAACATCTCTGAAATGAGAATGTCGTACAATGTACAGGAATCTAGGATTATGTCATAGCTTTATTGGTAGCATTTTTTTCCCTTTTAATTCACTGACAATATAAGATAAAATATATTTTTATATAAAATATAAAGATATAGGTGAATTCTATCACTAGGAGATTACTAATTCTATCGCTAGGAGATTACTAATCTGTTTTCTAAGAGAGTTCACAGCCATAGCTTAACTCATTTCTTAAAATGGCAGTTATTCCACTAGTTCAGGGGTCAGCAAACATTTTTACTAAAGAGCTAGACTCTAAGTTTTTTAGTCTTGTGGGTCACATGGAGTCTGTTGAAAATGTTCAGCTTAACTATTATAGTACAGAGGAAGCTATAATCCACATGTAAATGAATGGCAATGACTTTGTTCCAATAAAACAGAATTTTCAGAAGAGATCAACCATCTACAGGCTGTAGTTTCCCAGCTCTATGCCAGTTTCTCTATATTCCCTGAAGAATATTATACTCCTTGTATTTCAGCGCCAGCCAAATACTCAGATCACAAATACATGCTGAATGAATAAATGGATATGACTGTAGGCAAGGATGGAAATGAAAGACACTAAACCATATACACTAAACTTTACATTTCATCACCCTCTGCATTTCCATGATTTAAGAAACCTTCAAGATTAATAATGAATATTTCGAAGTATAGATTGTGTCAATGATTGCCAGCTTACTCTTGAAAGTGTAAAGTGCCTCATTTCATGTTTGCTTAGGGAAGATCTGTGCTGAGTGCAAGTGTTTTAACTCAGCCTTGGCCTCAGAAGGTTAGCTGATTGAATTTCAGTAGCAATTTGGCCAAATTCCAGTTGATCAAGCACTTTCCTAAGTATTCTTTCTAATATGTAAATTAGTACCTCACCGCTTTTCTTTTATTCACATGCTCTGTGTTTGTTTTCAGATGCTGAGCACAGTGCTTTCCATGTGCGTTGTGCTTAGCACCAATAACAGTCTACTCAAGAAACAAGGACTGCCTCTTCTGAATCAGATCATTAGCTGGACAATATTAGGTAAGATGTCAAGCAAACAAATGGGATAACTTTACATCAAGTTATATCTTAAAATTTTCCATTTACATCTATGTTATTATTATAGAAAGACATAATGTTATTGCAGGGAAATAATAACCAGCTATTATTTCTATCCTCTGCTGGAATCTGCAAAGAAAATTAGAACTTTGCTGAGCATTCACATGTTAATAAGAATTACTTAATAGAATTATTTATCAACTGATAATAAGACTGTGCACAGTGATAAAAATCAAAGTAATTCCAAAGAGAGCCTGTGAAGAGATTCTTAATGCTGAAATTCATGTCAATGCATAAATTCTTACACAAAGACTAGGAAACAGTTAAATTTTACCTGTATTTCTCTTGCTGAAAATAGCATTGATAAGTTACCCCCTAACACATTATATGTTTTAAAAAGCCAGGCGAGTGTTTCTAAACATGTCTCTCTATAGTACTCTGAAGGATGTTGGAGCAGATACATGATTTAAGGGCCAGGGTTTTGCCTCCCAACTGGAAGCCAGTAACAATCTTCAAGTCTAGATTTTTCCTTTATAAAACACACTATGTGGGTTGTGCAGGCACTTGAGCGCAGCACTGTGAAGCTGTCTGCAGCCTCTTGAGTGCCAGTTTGATCCCCGCTGGCCGTGGAGCAACCCACATGATGAGTGGACCTCTCCTGTCTCGCCCCCTGCTCCCCTCAGCAGTGTATTTCGTCACTCAGCCTGTTCTGTTCCCTACTCTGTCTCTGGTGAATCCTCTCACTCTCCCACACATCTGGCCTGTACCCCGGTTCTTGTATAAATAAATAAATCTTAAAAAATAAATAAATAAATAAATAAGACACTGTAATTCCTGGGAATGGTGTGACTTCCAATTTAATCTTTATTTTTTTTAATGATTTTTTGTTGTTGTTCATCGTTAAAAAGAAAAAGGTGTTTGGTTGGAATTTCACCTTAAGAGGAATAAGAGATAGGGGTGTGTTTTTTTTTTTTTTCTTTTCTTTCTTACTCCTAAGATCCAAGCAAAGGCTTAAAGCTGCAACAGGAAGTAGACATGTATCTCCTAAAATTTTGATTGTTTAATTTTCTGAACACCTTGCTCAGTGTTTAAGTTGAGGTTATACTTGGACAAGCATGCCTATGTTTATATTTGTGATTTCACCTTGCCTATGTAAATTTCGTTTCATCATGGGCATTTTGCAAGTCTTTACTTTTAAACTATCTCCATTTGCAGAGTTACTATTTATGTTCATTCTGCATGTACAATATTAATTAATGCTCCTTTATTTTAAAGATTTGCTTTTGGTTTGTATGATGTTCTGGCAGTTCTGGTACCTGAGAGTAATAGACCAAATCCCTGGTCACCTGGAGCCCCTATTCTGCAGGGACACTGTTGGGTGGGGCACTAATATTCTAGTGAGGCGACGCTATATGTGAGCATCTCTCATGGTAACATATTAGCTTTCAAACCCACAGACAAGCCAAAAATGATGAATGGAGCTCTAACATTAAAGGGAGTCTTTCTCTTAGTCTGCACACCTTCACAATTATACGGTCACATACAGCACACCCAGCAGATGGACAATGTATGGCAGATAATAGATAGAATTCCATGTCCTTAACATTGCAGCCCCTCTCTTGCTCACTACAAGCCTCTGTGGAGCCTGGCTCAACTCCTTAGTTTTCTTTCCTATTGAAGGATAAACTACAATGAAGAAGAGAAACAAACAAACAAACAAAAAACCAGAATTTGTACATACATCATTATACCTTATTTTTATATATCTAAACCTTCTAAAAAGATAAAAATTTAAAAATGTACACTTACCAGAATTACAGAAAACTTCGAGTGCTTTTCCTTTATCTGTTATTAGTATATATGTGTATAAAAATACTTAAATACCAGAATCAATATTTTTATCTCTTCTACCATTCTCATGTTAATTTTTCAATTGACTTAGTAATGTCCTTTATGGTATTTTTCCTTTCTTTGTTTTTCATGACATTGACATTTTCAAAAAATATAGTCAGCTTCAACCAACCCTCCCCTCAATGGACTGTTACTCAATTTGTATTGTCTGATGTTTCCTTGTAATTAAATTGAGGCCAGGCATTATTGGCCAGACTACTGCATAAGTGATGTTGTATCCTCCTTAGGGTCACATTGCGAGGCACATGATCTCTATCTGTCCCTTATTGGTGATGTTAATTTCCATCACCCTATCAAGGGGTTGCCTAGTCTTTTCACTGTATATTTATACCATATATTTAATGTTTTTTCCCCCCTCCCTTGCAACTAATCAGCTCTCTGGGGAGACACTCTAAGACCAACAGATAATCTTCTCATCAAAATTTCTTCCTAAATATTTGCACATTTCCTTTCCAAAGCAGACCCTGGGGAGGGGGTATGTGTACTGCCTCCTCTCCCCACCCCTCATTTCGTCTGCCCTTCTCCATTAAAGTAGTTGCTTTCTTATCCAGTGGGGGAAGGTTACTTTATTTATTAAGATTAGTCCTAAGAGCACAAGGGACTACGGTGATGGTGTATGGGTGATTTGGTGGTGGGAATTTTATGGGGACTACATCTGAGAAAAGAAAGCAGCCATTGTAAAAAAATGAACAATTATGTAAAATATATATAAATAAATAAATTATTTAAAAAAGAAAAAAGATTACTCCTGTTACAACTCACATGTATGGTGAAGCCCTTTTGTCTCTGATTTTCTAAGTAGCATACTATAACTTTCAGTGCAGTTTGTAGTGGGAAAACTTGGAGGAAGAGAGGGTTACAATAGATCAATTTCTGGGATGTAAATGCCTAATTAAGAGAAGAGTTGCTGACTATTCAGTAGTATTTTTATCATATTTTTTATTTGCATTAGAAAATAACATTTGGAGTTAATAGAACAGTGAGTTAGGCTGACTATAAATTAAGAAAATCTGAGCAAATTGTTGTTAAACCAGTGAAATGTAATTTTCATTTAGACTGTGAAGTTTCAAATTTCTTACAAAAATGATCAAGTTAGTGTCTTGTTTTAAAGCAACGCAGACAAGAAATGCTATAAACAACGGTAGATTATTCAGTGCCTCTAAAGTCCTCAGTTGTGGCCCTAGTGCTGACACTGCCCTGGTTTGTTTTATTGCAGCCTCTTCCTTCATCTTGCCACTGCTGAGTCCCATGGTTCTCTTTGAGCGATTGTTCAGCATATTTCTCTCCTCGATGGCCACCTATCTACTGCTAAGCACAGGGTAGGAACAAACTGCTTTTCAATTTCAAGTAGCAAGTTTTAAATAATGTATTGAAAATCCCTATGAGTTTAACCTCTCAAAATGAAAAGTGTATAAATCTTGAGGAAGAAATTATATGCTTTTTAAGAATTGTATATGACAATCTCAATTCTTTAGTTTTCTTTTTCCTACCATTTTCATGGTACCACCGGTTATCTTTGTCTTTGTTTATTTCCTAAAGTATCACTATTGGTGATAATAAAGTATTTTAAATAATCAGTTTAATAATTATAAAAGATATCAAAACCTATTATCATAAGCATATTTAAGAAAAAGTAAAAATTTACTCGTAAATACAGAATACTGATGAATATGATCTTATTAATGAATGTATTAAGAAATATATTTTTCAACATCAAAAAGTGTATTTACCTTTGTAAAGAAATTTAATTAGGCTATGCTCAAAACAGCACTGTCTAATAATTTCAATTACTGTAGTTTTCAGTGTTAAGTCAGTTTTGCAAAATATCATCTACCTGTTATTGTTCCATGTCACTATTTTGAAAGACATGGTGGGTTCACTATGGAAATTAGTGAATAGTCATAATTACAGGATATTTAAAAGAAATGCAGATATATTACTTTATAGAAATCAAGTAATAGTAATCCTAAATTCTAACAATGCATTCTTGATTTAATGAATAAAAATTGATTTTTAACCAGCATTTATTTTTATGCTAATGTATAATTGAAAATAGTTATATTTTAAGTTGTTAAACCTTTCCCCTGAAATTTTATTCATATGCCCCTTTGCTTAGCAAACTATAAAACAAAGGTAAATGTCTTTTTAGCTTGTTCACTTTGCAGAGACCAAACTAGCAGGCCCTAATTTAGTAAGGTTTTATCATGTGTACTGTGAGCTGTGATGACATTTTATTGATATTTCATTTTATTAATTCAAGTATGCAGGCTTGATAGAAAAATATTGATTGTCTAAAGTCCCATAGGAAGATTGTGTCAGATTTATTTACCTCATTTTCACAAAAGAAAATAATCATAGTTTATAGTTTTTGAAGGAAGATAAGTCTGCAGCACTATTCGTAGAACTATTTGTGTCCTTATATATTAGGAAAGAATAATTTGATATTTAACTACAAATATTTTAATAATCATAATCCTTTTTTGCTTAGCATTTACACCTTCTTGATTCAGTTAGCCAACAATTGCTCATTTTCACATCTCCAGAGTCCTGAGCACTGGACAGATATATAAGCCAAACAGTCCATCCCAGGTGTATAGTAGAGTTGTAAGTTGCTATAAAATAAGGATGTTATTTTCCAATATAAAATGCAGCAGTTTATTGTGAGTTAAATTGTAACTTGTTTGACATAAAGAATGACTAGAGAAAGAATTCGAGTAGGGGAGCTGAATTGATACCATCAGTGATTCATGTGGAAGTTGAACTAAATTTTGAAGAATGGCATTCTAAATCTTTGTTTTCAATTATTTTTTTAATCCTTGTAAAAGTAGCATAATCACATCTAGGATAGTAGGAATAGAGAAAAATCATTATTAACCCACCCCTCTTGTTAATGTTCTGGTTTATTTCTTTCCAGTCTTACCTCATATTTGTCTTTTTATCATAGTAGTAATCCTTGTACTATTTTATATTTTTTTCCCTACTCAACATTATTATAGAAGCTTTTTCCCATATCACTTACAAGCTTCCTAACTTGCATTTTAATAGATAGTTGATATTTTCCAGTGTGGCTGCACCTTGTACTTAGCTATCATTCTGCTATCATTTTGTTTGCTGCTGCTTTTTATTGTCATGACTAGTATTTTGAGTTATGTTTTTATATATAAGATTTTATACAGTTTAGATTATTTCCTTTGTTCATGTCTCAGATGTAGTATAGGTGGGCCATAGAGTATGAACTTTTATTTTTAAACTTTTGCCTTAAGGACAAGACAAATTTATAATAACACTGGCAGTCTTTGGGGGATCCTATTTCATCAGAGAATATTAGAGTTCCTTTTCCATTATGCTCTTGTCAACATTTTTTAAAATATGGGTAAATATACCTTCCTTCCTATTAGTATCCCATTATTTTAATTTCTACATCAGTTATCAATAAGGTCAAACAGGGGCCTCCCCTGGTGGCGCAGGTGGTTGAGCGCAGCACTGTGAAGTTGTCTGCAGACTCTGCAGCACGGGTTCGATCCCGGCCTGCCAGCAAGAATCCCACACGGAGTGGCAGACCTCTCATGTCTCGCCCGCTGCTCCCCTCAGCAGTATAGTTCAGTCAGTCTGCCTGTTCTCCCCACTCTGTCTCTGGTGAATCCTCTCACCTTCCCGCGCATCTGGCCTGTACCCCAGCTCTTGTATGCATGAATAAATAAATCTTAAAAAAAAAAATAAGGTCAAACATATTCTTAGATTTATGGGCTCTTTTTTCTTCTTGAGATGTTTCTGTTCCTACGTTACACTCATTTAAAAACATTTGGGACATTTTCTTTTCTGTGTATATTAATAATATTACTTGAGTCACCTCTTTACCATTTTCTTAATATTTTCTTTGTTTTATGTATATCTATAGATTACTTATGAATGAATTTTATTTTTAAATTTTTTTTAAAGATTAATTTTTTTATGCATACAAGAGCTGGGACACAGGCCAGAGATGTGGGGGGGTGAGAGAATTCACCAGAGACAGAGTGGAGAACAGAACAGGCAGACTGACTGAAATATACTGCTGAGGGGAGCAGCGAGTGAGACAGGAGAGGTCTGCCTCTCCTGGGTTGCTCCCTGGCCAGCCGGGGATTGAACTCGTGCTGCAGAGGCTGCGGATTGCTTCATAGTATGGTGCTTAACCCCTTGCACCACCAGGGAGGTCTTTATGAATAATTTTAAATATACCTACCATTTTAAAGACATAATGATCTCAAGATTTGATAAATTTCAAGAAGATAGTGTTGGAATTGATATTTCAATGTAACTTCTCTTCTTCTGGAAAGTTTAGAAAATATAAATTTTGTGATATTATGACTTAGAAGTGTTAAAAGGATTGTTTTAATTTTGAGAAATACCTCAGTATAAATTTACATTTATATATATATTTTTTAAATTTCTTCCACTCCTTTTGCCCATTTAGGTATGAAGCTCTCTTCCCTTTAGTGTTGTCATGCTTAATGTTTGTTTGGATACACATGGAACATGAAACCCTACAACAATCTGGTATTTCCTGTAAACAGAAGGTAGTTTGTCAGCCACTGTAGCATTTATTTGAGAATATTAAAATATTTGCTGTTCTATAATGAAGCTATGTTATTTCATCTGCAATCATTCCACTTGAAATTTTATACTACCAATGGCATTAATAATTAAGTTAACAAACAGTTTGTAAGAAAATTTTTCACTTAGTAAAAAAAGCATGATTTTTTTTGTTTTATAGGCATTGTACAGGTTGGACTTTTCTTAGACCTTATTTGAGAATCACCGATGTAAAAAAATTAATGTATGTAAAGAAATGGAGGAGAAAAAATGTCATTTATTGTATTTTCCGCATCTAACTTTTTTCCTCCATTTTATTTTAATTGGAAGAATGTTTATTTTGTTACAAATCAGTTTATAAATTTGATCATAAGGTGACATTTACCTAGTGTTGTTTTTCCTTTCTAGTCATCCTAGTCCAAAATGCTTTCTGTCACCTTAGTGATTGGGCCTCAGTCAAATTGTAGACTGTTTATACACGGTATACTTTTATTTGACTAAAAGCCAGCCTCATTTTAAGGGCATGATTATCATTTGGAGCTACAGAATTAAACTGATGTCTATTGCCTTTGTTTTAGAACTGAAGTAATTATAAGAAAGTGGTGATAGAGTATTTATAATTTTATCGCGGTCAAATAAAATGAATAATGCAGAAAAACACCTTCATGGTTGATCCATCCTTAACTGGTTCCAGTTGAGTTTACAGGAGTAATTGGTAATTTAGAATAATTAATTTCAATTAAAAAGAAACTTTATTGAAGTATTTGAATAATTACTGGCTGTTAACTTTTAGCCAGAGAATATTAATATATGAAAAGCAGTTTTAATGCAATTTAAGTAAATGGTCAGATTGTCCTTAATATTAAGTACTTTAATATTAAATAATAATACATTTAAATTGAAGGTCATTGTATCTTTTTTAAGTCTTTTATTTATTTGTTTGTTTATTCTTTATTGAAGTAACAGTGGTTTACCTCTGTAAACCAAAACACTGTATATGGTTTGGGGAAAGACTGTGCACACATCCTCAGATTATGAAATCTGTGTAATGAAACATTTCATTATTATGAAATATTTTTCATAATATTTCATTATTATGAAATAATGAAACATTTCATTATTATGAAATCATACAGCATTTGTCTCTTTCCTCATGACTTATTTCATTTAGCAAAACCCACTCTAGTTTCATCCACATTGCTGCAAATGGCAGAGTTCATCTTTTTTCATAGCTGAGTAGTATTCCAAAAAAAGAGAACACTTCACAGATTTGCATATTATGCTGGCAATGGGGCCATGCTAATCTTCTTAGTCTATGTGCTGCCAAAATAAGCACTTAATTCTTTTTTTTTTTGGTAGCAGAAATTACATCAGTCTTTTTCTAGAAAAGAGTATTAAAGCATTCTGGAATTTATTAGGAGAAAAAAAACTTATTGGGAAATCACACTGGAAAATTCCCTTATTCACCCACCAGGTTTTCTTTTTATGGGGGAGAGGTACTAAACAAAGTGTACCCGTCATGTTGAAATTGAGTAACTTTCTATTTTACCAATGACAGGAATATTTTGATTTTTTTTATAAAGTGAAAATTATTTGTCTACAAATAGAATTAGCAGAGAAACAAGGAAACAAAGAAATATTTAATTTTGCCATGCTTTTAAAAAATACCACAATATAACTGGGTTTGAGAAGGGCTCTAAGACCTTTACATTGTGAAGAGCAGAAGAATTCTATAGGGATTTAAAAGGGAAGCATTCATATGGGATAAGAAAAAGCCCAGTTCTCACTTTCATTGCATATGAGACCATGCTTCAACCCTGTAAACTATGTTATTAGCAACATATTTTACCTTCTGGCAGATTTTATTAAGGAATAATTAAGCTACAAGAAAACATTTGTTTTTGATTTTTTTTTGGTCAGTACAGGGTATCTTTCTAACTATTATACCTTAACCTGCAAGTTTGCCTTTGAGGATAGAAGTAAACTGTTATTGTGCATTCATATGTTTCTTATTACCTTATAGGTCAACAGTATCCAGTTTGCCTACAATACTGATATAACCCAGTTTCGACAGCTCTGTCTAGATGACATCAGGAGGGCCTTTTTCCTTGTATCCTTTGTTTGAACTTTTGTTTTAAGGAGCCACAACCTCCTGTTTCATGAAGTAAAAAAGACATGGAGGTGTGTCTGTCCATTACATAGCAGTGGTTGTTACCTTAGCAGCCAGTTTATTCCCTTCTCAGCATAAGCTTCACATAGTTCACACATAGAAAAAATGTTGAAACTATAGAACAACAAACAAATTGATATGTATTTCTGCTATCCAAGATGTTAACAAATAGTCACACATACATACATTTTTTAAAAATTAAAACATCACAGTTAAAATTAAAGTCACGTGTCTCTGCTGAAGCTGAACTCTCAGTGGTCTGCATGGTCTTCCTGAGAGTGCAACTTAAGCAGAGAAAACCACTCTGAGAGCTACTCCTCCAGTGTTGACCGAGTCTCTCCTGACCTTAAAAACTATGTATCAGGCCCTCCCCAGTGGCGCAGCAGGTTGAGCACAGCGCTGTGGAGCTGTCTTCAGTCTCTGCACCACGAGTTCGATTCCTAGCCGGCCAGGAGATACCCACATGGCACGGCAGACCTCTCCTGCCTCGCCCACTGCTCCCCTCAGCAGTGTTTTCAGTCTGCCTGCCTGTTCTGCTCCCCACTCTGTCTCTGGTAAATTCTCTCACCCTCCCGCACCTCTGGCCTGTACCCCAGTTCTTGTATAAATAAATAAATCTTTAAAAAAAAATAAACCATATATCAGACATCCTACTGGGCCTCACCAAACATGTTCCTAAACTGACAACAACTGCCTACCCCTCTCTAAGTCACCCCTGCAGGCTTCATCTCATCTAATGGCATCAGCATACTCTCGCTGATACTACCCTAGCCAGCAAACTTGTCACATTTAGTTGCTCTTTGTCCAGTTCTAAAGTGCATCTTTCTACCTTCATTCTTGCTTTCCCCTCCCACCCGTACCAGTTCAGACCTACCTCGCCACACATGGACTAATGAAACAGCTTCCTCATTGGATCTCCAATCATCTGTTTTCCTGTCTGAATCTCTGTCACTGGTATTTCTTGATTATGTCATTCACCTAAGTGATACATTCATTGTCATTGTCTCACACTAAAGTTCAAGGCCTCATTCTCTCCACAGTAAAATTCAAAGCTTTTTATTAGTATGCCTCCAATCCAATTTGCCTGCATCTTTCAGTATCTAACAGTAAACCCTATGCTTCTCTCAAAATGACTCTGTCATTTTCCCACTGTTCCTCTTGAAACAACCCCCCCCATGTACTTATACAGAATGTCATAATCTTAGTCACTAAATACACTTCATTCAAAACTTATTTAATTCACATTTCTGCCTGTGACATATACTAGACAATAAATGTTGATTAGTTGATTGGTTGAATGAATGGATTCATGAGTACATTGAAGACGCAAGTCACCAAATGAAATGACACTTTTTCATTGAAAGTTGTCATGATTCATATTTCCTCTTCAGGGTTTCTATACCACTTTTGTGTGTGTGTCTATAATAACAAAAACAGCTAATATTTATGAAGCCCTTTCAGTGGGCTAGGCACTATTTTAAGTACTAACTTAGCAGTAAGTTCTTAGATACTAACAGAAAAATAGCTACTTTTGATTACTGCACTAATACAAGTTTAAGAAATGTCAGAGAAGATGTTGAATATTTTCCTATGTCTCATTCTCTATTGAATTGTTGTCGAACATGGTATCTTATTTCTTTCTGAGCTTTCAAAAAAACCTAGCACATTTCACATGTAGTGGATATAGAACATGTGTATATGAACAGTGTTGAAGCTGATAATGTCTATCACATACACTGGGCCCACATTCTCCTTTTGAAAAAACCATTAGCAGCTAACTACACATAGAATAAAACAACTAGTTCATGTTAAAGAAGAGGAAAATAGTAAACTTCCCAAGGTGCCTGATGACAAGTGAGGGTGACCTCCAGGCCTGCTTGTTCTTAATACTCGGCTTCTTCAATCTAGTTCTTTAAAATGCAGTCACAGACATCGGTGGAGCATCCATTTACAGTTTATGATCCCCTGCCCAAGTGAAAATGCAGATTGCCCTCATGGTAGAATAGGCATATCTTTTCTAAATGAAAGGAAATTTTTATGATTTCTGACTCACGTTGGCATTTCCTTAACCTTATTTAGGTTTTCTTCTTAATGACAGCATTTTTTGGAACTGGAAATATAGCTTCTATCAACAGGTAATTTTAAATGAACATAGCCTGTGTATAACCAAAAATAATACAAATTGGAATTTTGTTCTATACCTTGCTTTTGGAGATTGGTATCTATTAGTACAAACAGACCACCTCATTCCTTTTAGTGACTTTGTAATATTCCTTGATGTGAAGTATGCTTGTGTTTTAGTAGCAGTAGATTTCAAAAATTAGCTTAAGCAGTGTTTTAGCAGAACAGTCTTTTAATGTTATAATGTGGATTCTAAAATCCTTTTTCGGTATGTTGTTTCCTTAGTTTTGATCTTGCCTCAGTCTATCGCTTTGTGACCGTGTTTAGTCCATTTGTGATGGGAGCCTTGATGATGTGGAAGGTTAGTTCTATTTTCTTATTTTATGAAGACACTGATTTATTAAGAATAGGAACTAATTGTGACATTGAGATTGTGTGATATTAAAAATATTAGGTCATATGCCAGTTACATAGCTGGGAACGAAGATAGCTCCTCAGACCCTGTTGAATCCTGATGGGACTCTCTAGCTGTTGTTCCAAAATATAGTTAATCTTTTTGCTACTTTTAAGTACATTTAACTTCAAATGTGTAAAGATTCATATGTTACTCCTGGAAAATCCTATCAAAGGAGATTAAAATCTGTGGGGAAATGCAGTGCATTGCTTCTCACTACTCTGAGGCACCCCAAACCATGTTTCCTATCCAAAAGACTGTCAACATATAATCTTTTCTCATTCTCCAACATATAATCATGTCTACCTAGAAATGATTCATTCATTCACTGAGTGTTTACATTCAGTAACATGCCCTGTACCAGCTGCTCCTGGGGGTACTGAAACAATGACACATGCTCAGCTTTTCAGGGGTTCAGACGCTCTGCGTTTTTTTCTTATGCTCATCTTACTCCCTCTACCATAACACCCTTGGCACATTTTATGTAGTTAATATATTTTTTGATTAAATAAAATACCTAATATGTATCTCAAATCTAATTGCCTCTGTTCAATCACAGAAGTAGTAATTATTAAAGGTTATATGTCTCTTATTAGGGTTAATAATTTTTTGTCACTGTACAAAAACAGATGTGATTTTAAGAAATGTTAGAATGATGTTCAACATTTTCCCATGTTCCATTCTTTATTGATTTTTGAAATGTAGTTTCTCATCTTACAGTATATACAAAAATTGAATCATTGTTGTACACCTGAAACTAATATAATGTTATATTCAATTACATCTCAATTAAACAAAAGCATGTATTGTTTTCTTGATCTTATTTACATTTTTTAATGTGGTTGTTCTTTTTGTGGCCTATTAAAAACCATGGATCTTTGAAAACAAGAAAAAAAGACAAACAAAAGTTTAAATTAGAATGCCCAATATCAGTGAACTTAACTGATAGAATGTGCTTGATAACTTTTTTCAACCTATGTGAATGTCCCCTGAGCTCTGTTTGAGTTACATATTCTTTACCTGCAAAAGAATCTTATGCAACTTAATCATTTCTTTTCCATAGCTTTCCCCTCCCATCTTTTTTAAATCATCAAGTATATATGCACACACATATGCATACATGTATGTATTTAAATTGGTCATTGGAAATCAGTATCTTAAAATATCTTACTAGCTCTGGATTATGGATTTTTAACTAATATAGATTTTATTACACCTTTCTCTATTTTTTCAAATTTTTTTACTGTCATATGAATTTTATAATAGAAATGATTTTTTATTAAAATAAAATAACTGAAAGCAATGGTGAAGCAGCTAAACCAGCTGGTTTTGGGGATCTATGAATCAAATTATCGGGTTCCATAATTTATTTGATTTTGGCATTCTGTGCTTTTCATGACCTCTTGGAATCATTTGAGCATGGTCATTAATTATAATGAATTAAATAGAATGAAAATTTATAATGGGTTTTATTGGGATGTGTGTTGATGTCGATTGCCTTTTTATACCACGTTTGCTATTGAGTCCATTTTTAAGTTATATCATGGCTTTATTTCAATGTTTGTTTTTCAGTAATACATAATAAAAGTTATCTGAGAAATTGAAATATTTCTACAAACAGAAGTAGTATTTATTTGAAAATTTTTCAAATACTTTAGCTACCTGTGACATCATTTGTTCTTTAAACAGATTTTAATTCCCTTTGTTCTTGTGATGTGTGCTTTTGAAGCAGTTCAGTTGACCACCCAGTTATCATCAAAAAGGTAAGGTCGATGTTTAAGATGCATTGGATTTGTGTATTCTTAAGAAGAGTCGCATTTGAGGATATTTCATGTGATTGTTACTAAGACACTAACATAGATTATGTGCTACAAAATGAGAGAGATGTTACATCTTTTAAATAAGAGTTTAGTTTTCATTTGAGGAAAATGGTTGATTAGAATCCTAGCAGACAGATTTCTTTCTCAGTAATAAAAATATAACAGTGTATTATTTTGGTTAGTGAAGAAGCTTCCTAGAAAACAGTAAAACATAAATATTCAATTATTTTGTTGATGACTTGTTTGTTTTAGATATAATTGTGCCTGCAAAAAAAAACAAGGTATATCATTCTGTTTTGGGCTACTTCTTAAATTGAATTATACAAATATAATAATACTAAAATTATATCATTTTAATTAGCTTAAAATTATTCTAAATACCAATAATTTACAGTTTCTCAATTTTGGTTTCTACACATTTGACAATTGGGATGGGAAGTATTCTTTCTGAGTTTGAGGAATTTCTGGAGCAATTCCAAATTTAGCAATGAAGACTCAAAGAGAAGCTGTCAACTTACTATTTGCTTTTTTAAACCAATAAAATTGCCTTATCAGCCCAAGGCTGATCACCCTCTCTGAAAAACACATGAAATAAATCTGAAGCTTCTCAGCAGCTTTGTTATTCTTGAATCAAATTGGCATATTCCATGCTGAAAGAAATAACTGATATTAGCATAAATTTGCATGTTCTTCTTGATGAGTTTAAACTACAACTCAGTTTAACATATTATGCATATGCCATTATTTTAAAAAGGGATTTCTTCCACTGTTTAAAAATAGTAGAAATCTCATTTCTAGTTTGATTTGGTATAGTTTTGCAGGATATTTATATGACTTTAACATTGAAAGCAGTTACACTTTGTCAATAGCACATACTAGGTGCAATGGAAAACTGGTAAATACATGTACTCTCTTACATCTCTGGTAGTGAATGCCTTTATTTAGAAGGGATTTTAATTAAGGTTTAAATAAGAACTGGGAACATGTGGAGTGAGAAAAGTAGAAGGCTCATCAAAATGTATGTGTGTGCGTGTGTGTGTGTGTGTGTGTGTGTGTGTGTGTGTGTGTGTGTAGTAATTGAATCCTGAGACTAGAACAATGGAAAATTAAACACAAAGGGAGAGAAGTCAAGCAAAGGTAACAAAGTTAAGACTTTAGCAAAGTCTTCTCTTCACCTCTAAACCTTTACATTTCTTCTTCAAAGTCACCCTTACCCCTCAAATATAATATGTCACACCTTGAATCCAGTAATTCCTTTTTTTTGTACTGATAGTGAATGCATTTTTCTACCAGCTCTTCATCCTGTTTTCTTTCTTTAATCCATTACATAGCCTGTGTCCATCTGTCCTTCATTGCCATGTCCACTTGCTGATTATCACTGACATCATCACTGACACCATGTTTTATATTATCCTAATCTGCTATATTGTTAGATCTGTAATGCCAAGGACATGTTGCTTGTTAGATCTGTGATGCCAAGGACAAGTTCAGTGTAGCCAGTGAGGTGATTCTGCTTTTCTTTCAGCTCATCTCTGGAGTAGTGTTGAACAAAGGTTAAGGAGAAAAACTGTGTGTTAGCATTATTTTGTTTTACATGACTTAACAATGATTTTCTTCTAAATATCAGTTTCCCAAATTAGGTAGCAGTCTTGATAACTGACTTTGTCACCAAAGATTTGTGTATTTTGAGTAGAGTCCACTAAATGGAAGTATCTGAACATGAAGGTTATGATGGATCCATTAGGAATGCTTTTGGCTCTAAGTAATGAAAATCTAAGAGTAGCTGAGAGGTAGGGATTTATGTGTCTCACATATCATGGGGATAGGCCGTCCCTTAGCAATCCTGCCTTTCTATCTGCCACTCTCAAGGGGTTGGTTTTTCTCCTCATACCTCTGTGAATTACATCTGCCATAGGCAGAAGGGGAAGGGAGAAAGGTCTGTGTTAGCAGAGTCTCCCTTACCATCAGGGAGGCAGGGTCTTTCTCAAACACTCCATCCAACAGATTTGGATGATATGTCTCAAAGGCCAGAACTCTATGTAGCACACATTCATTCTAAATTAGAAGGTGGTTAGGGAAAAAGAAGGGGGTGAAAAGGAGTTGAGGGTGGGAAGCAGCCAGTCAGAGCCTCTATCACGGATGGGGAAGATATTTGAGGTCTAATCCATTTTACAGTATGAGGTAATAGGCCCTTTGAAGACCTTTGTTACCTTCAGAATACAAGGTGTACGAGTATCAGAAGGCAGTTGAGAAGACAAATCTTAGAATTATGGAAGTATTCAATAACCAACCAAATAATGAGATCTAAAAGGAATAATTTTTCAGTTCTAGGTTTGATTCACCTATACAAGAGAGTCATGGTAAAATGGTAGTGTTTGGGGGGAAAAACCTGGGGCAGTCAGTAAAGTGATTTAGCAGCCCAAAGGCTTGTTTTTTGTGCCCTATGTGAATTGAAATGACTGAGATGTTTTTATACATCATTTGGATATATCATTTTGCTTTATTGGATGTTTTTACCTTCAGATGTTATGCTCTCAGATTTAAGAATCCAAATTAGAATCAGAATTAAAATAATAGCAAATAACTTTTATTGAAAGAGTATTTTCCAGGAGAAACTCTTAGTAAGTCCACTCATTTTTTTTTTAATTTTAAATAAAGTGAAACTGAACTATTTTCAACTATTTTCATTTAGTTTTTTTAATTTATTGAAATTATTTTTATTGGGGCCAATTATTTTTTAAACTTTAACAAAGAAATTTTGTTCACCTTCCTGGCTTTTAAAAACAATCTGTCTTAAGATCTGTGACTTTAGCTCCGGCTAGTGTATGTTTTTCTTTTATGGTTATTACGTCTGCCAGGTCTAATTTATGTAAGTCAGATATTATAGACCTGGTTTTTGTCAAGGTTTCTTCTTCACATTATGATTTTGTCAGTTATGGATTTTACTCTATGGTTCTAGCTTTTTATGGTGTAATTTGGTGGTCTTTCTACCAAGTCTGTTTTTTCTTAGATCAAATTTTTTGAGAATCCTATACCAAAAAGAGGTTCTTAAGTCATCTTGTGTCTAAAAGGGATGTCATTAGCCAGCTTCAATGCTGACTCTTTCTATTCAGTCTGCACATATGTTTCAAGTTCTATTATATGCCAGGAACTGTTCTAGCCACTGGTGATACACTGGTGAACAGAGCTTACCATCTTTCTTGGGGAGACAGATAAATAAAATGCCTGCTATAACAATAAAATGTCAGGCAGAGTTAAATGTTAAGAAGAAAAATAGATTGATTAGGGGCGGCTTCTCTGAAATGTTTAAGCAGAAACTGAATAAACACAGAATGAACCATGAAACTGCCTGAGTAAAGAACATTGCAGGTAGAGGAATGTACAAAAGGCCTAGGTTGGACGTGTGCACAGTGTACTTGAGAAACAACCTTTAGTGGAGTGTGCTAGTGGAAGAATTGTAGGAAGTAAATGGTGGAGAGGCAAGCATGGGTTGGATAATGAGGAACCATTGGCTATAATTAGAACTTAAGAATTTTCCCTAGTTATGGCTAAAAACCATTGGAAGTTTTCAGAGATCTCATTGTCTGTTCTATGGACAACACCTTTAAGAGTACAAGAGTGAAAGCAGGGAACTCAGTTAAGAGACCATTGCAGGGAAGCAGTCATGGTGGGTTGGTAGAGAAAATAGAGGTAGTTTTCACTATCAATTGGATAAAAACCTGTAGCATGTATTTATACGATTCAAAGAATATTCCCTGGGTAAACCTAGAAGACCTAGGTGCTCAAAACAGCCGAGAGATAAAATGATGTCCTAAAACTAACGTGCCTTTAATGGAAATTGTATCCAGAACAAGGAGAGTGATCGCCCCATTCTGCTTTCATGGTGATTTGATCACCATGAATATTGAAGAGGGTGTTTGATTTATACTTCTTGTTTGAGCGATTTATGAATAAACAAGGGAAACAAGCGACACATTCAAAGGAAAGGCATGCATGTGCTGAAGGCTCCTGAGCGTCAGCAGCACCCACAGGGAGAGTGAGCCTGATGCTGAGGAGCTGACTCAGGCCAGACGCCACACGTCAACAGTCTGCCTGCTCACTACCTGGGTCATCTCGGACGCTTCACTTCTCATTTCCCCAGTTTCCATAGAATGGTTAGAAATATGACTGTTGATCTGGGAAAGGCGTTTTCCTTCTTGTTAAGGCATAATTCACACATCATACTCTCTCATAAGTTTTTCTTTCCCGGCTGTGCCCTTCCCCCCAAATTCCTAAGTTAGATAACTCATATGGAAATAAAATTATCTCTTACTTTACCATTTTACTCCTTATTGTGGGCTAAATTGCGTCTGCTCCTTCACCTTCCCCCCATTCATTTGTTGAATGTGACTGTATTTTGATATAGTGCTTTAAAGAGACAATTAGCATAAAATGAGGTCATATGGGTGGACCTAGCCCAGTGTAACTGGTGTCCATATAAGAAGAAGAGACTAGGACACAGACACACAGGCAGAGAGAAGATGACCATCTTCAGGCCAAGGAAAGATACATTGGAATGAAACCAACCCTGTTGACACCTTAATCTTAGCTTCCAGAACCTTGAGGAAGCAAACTTCTGTTACTAAAGCTACCCAGTCTGTAGTAGTCTGTTGTGGCAACTCTAACTAGTGAACACCTACCCCATGAGGCAGAGAGTGGATCTTTCCTTGGATCTTTAATTTTATTTAAAGCTTATGTTAGTAAGAGTGAGAAAGAAACCAGTACTTTAGACATTTACCATCCATCTATACTTACTGTAGCAGGTTCTTTTTTTTTTTTTTTTTTTTAAATTTATTTATTTGTTTGTTTGTTCGTTCGTTTTGTTTATACATGCACTGGGTACAGTCAGAAGCGCGGGAGGGTGAGAGAATTCACCAGAGCCAGAGCGGGGAGCAGAGCAGGCA